TATATATCTTAACATAAATATATAATTTTTCATACATACATACATACATACATATGTAAGCAAATATATGGATATAGATCCGACAGTATGAAGAAAAATATACGGAAAAAAACAAACAAAAATCCTTATATGCAATTATGCTGTTTTAAATGTTAAATGTTCGCTAGAAAAGGCGAAATACCAAAGAAGCCAGGTCTAGTATTCACTGTGCGTGAGATTAATGCTCGACAAACGTACATATAAATTTTAGATCAAAATAGAATTCTCTTCATTTTTCATTTTTCATTCAAAATACTCAAATTTTAGGAATACGTTTTCACAGCGTCACCCACGTGACGACAACGTGACCATGTTTAAACGGAACTCTGATCTTATAAAACTTTCAGTTATCTGTTTGGATAAGTCTTGTTTTTATGTCCATCGTCTTTGTCCCGTTGAATTGATAATGTTAATTATATTTATGAATATGTCCTGAAGATGGTTTATTAGACCGAAACGTCCGACGTTGACATTATATAACATTTAAAACAGCATAATTGCATATAAGGATTTTTGTTTGTTTTTTCCGTATATTTTTCTTCATATATATATATACATACATATATATATATATATATATATATTATATATATATATATATATATATATATATATAGGATGACAAATATGGTCAAAGTCTGGTCCTTAACCTCTCCATCTTATTCTTAAATATCTTAATAAAAATAGATTGAATATTATTCCTATCTCTCCCTTGCGTCTCTAATTTTGACCATGTCTCCCATACTCCTCCTTTCCCTCTCTCTATATCACCTTATATCAACTTAAAATTGTGTAAGAACTATATGTAAATTTAAAACTGTTTTTCCCACTTGGCAGAAGATTCTTTAACAAAAAAAAAGAAGGAAAAAGAAGAAAAAGAAAAAGAAGGGAAAAGAGAAGAAAAGCAAGTGTATTGGTAAATGCATCAGTGTCTCTGTGTGTGTGGGGGGGTTAAATTATATTTTTTTTATCCAACCTCATATGCACTTGAGAAAACTTTTCTGATATGTAAACAACGGTTTAAGACTTCGGATTTCTGGTTTTGCTTTTCTTCTTCTTCTTCTTGTGTAAATTAGTAAGACTTTTCCCTAAACTGTATTCTCCCATCAAAAAATATTCTTACAATCTAAAAAATATTTTCTGGCTTTAAATAACCTGCAATATGTTGATAATCCGTAAAATACAAATCAATGAAAATCAATCAATTCCCCTGCTTTTATAAAGCTTTTTCTTGTAGCGATCTTTAGCTTTTTTTTTCTTAACCCCCCCCAAAAAAAAAAACCGCAGTTGGTGGTTATTTGATAAAAATTCACCTGAGGATACCGTAAGGTTGACACCACAGTAGCTGATTCAACTGACTTCCTGATTTTTGAAGTTAAAGCTGTACATGTTAAATTTTACTCTTTTCAACATATTCTTCCAGATGTTCTTTTTATATTCAAGCCTCGACCGGAATAAATGAAAAAGAAATAAATTTAAATGAAAACAAAAACAACTTTCGCCCATGAATTAAATATCTAGAGTTGTGCTTCTAGAAAGTAATTTGAGATTCTTGATAAAATGGAAAGATGAATCTGCAAATTATTTGTTCCTGACCAGGCATCTCGGCTTCAGACACCGCCGAAAATTCGCTTCCCTTTTCATAATGTTATAGTGGAACACACCTAGTCTATATTTAATAGACTCTCCCACCTATAATAAGTAGGAGTAGTAATAGTAACGGGGGGGGGTCGCTCAGTGGGTTGGTCTCAGTTCAGTCTGAAGTCGGACGACCGGCTAACCGGTTGAACTCTCTGCCTTCGGGCGGGTAGGAACCCGAACGAGGCTACGCCAAAGGGCGGAGTCTCTTTCGGGGAGGTAAAGCGACCCTGAACCCGTTTATACAGGTTTTAAAAGGGCATATTTTTGGCCGCGCCCACGGGCTCGAAGATCCCACGTTAAACCGGCCTTGTGCTACATGATGCCCTCGTGGGGTGGGGCGACTGAATATCGCTCAGTGGTTCGGTCTGAGTTCAGTCTGAAGTCGGACGACCTGCTGACCGGTTGAACTCTCTGCCTTCGGGCGGGGAGGAACCCGAACGAGGCTACGCCAAAGGGCGGAGTCTCTTTCTGGGAGGTAAACCGACCCTGAACCTCTTTTATACAGGTTTTAAAAGGGCATATTTTTGGCCGAGCCCATGGGCTCGGAGATCTCACGTTAAACCGGTCTTGTGCCACATGATACCCTCGTGGTGGGGGGTGACTGAATATCGCTCAGTGGTTCGAGCAGTAAGTCGATGCCGGACGACCGTTAGTCGGATACTAAAGTATCAGCGACCACAACTAGATTTCTCTGCGTCATTACCTATTATATCAAGTTCCTAACGTTTTGTACGTCGAACCTATTTTAGGACCAACTTAGTACAAATACAAGCCTCTACTGTGAAACCACTCCATAACACATAATAACTATTCTAATGAGCTTTCGTCTTTGTTACCGAAACACTATTTATATTTGGACTATTCTCCTCATCTTTGTTGTTGTCTTGACAACGTTTCGGCCGTTGTGAACTCCGGCCTTTAATAGGTGTGTATCGATCTGTGTAAACTACAGGAACAGACTGTTCTCGTCCCAATGATTATGTCTAGGGATATCACATCTATTTCTCATTTGTAGTACTGAGTAATCATAGCTGCCCACTGCGTCCACCTACACACTGCCCGGTACAGGGGTTGAACTCACAATTACTATAACAATTGATTCAATACCAACACTTTAATATATTAGTCCAGTGGAACGAGAACAGTTTATCCATAGATATTTATAGACTGAATAAAGTTTTCAGTTTAGAATTCAGTTCAAGATACACCTAATGAAGGCTGGAGAACATAACGACCGAAACGGTGTGATAAAAACAATAAAGATGAAGATAATCGTGTCAATATAAACACGGTAAATGATGATAACTCGTCATATCAGAAATTAATATATTTTGTCAAGTCTATGATTTACGTGATTTTTCCATTTTCAAATTTACGATTATAGAGATTTCTTTTTTTAACAGAATAAAGTCAACGTCATTGTGATTTTAATGAGTTTTCAATATATTTATTAAATTCCAGTAGATAGTTGGGGGGATCCATATTCTAAACATTTTTTAGACTTATCATTATTATTTTAGTTATTATTATTATTGCAACGGAAAAGAAAGCGTGCTGGGTAAGACGATAAACTACATCCGCGTCCCGGGTATGACGATAAATTACACCCGAGTCCTGGGTATGACGATAAA